GATAGATAGATAGATAGATAGATAGATAGATAGATAGATAGATAGATAGATAGATAGATAGATAGATAGATAGATAGATAGATAGATAGATAGATAAAATATATGTCTAAATAAACTATATCATTTTACTTGTTTAGGATTAAACTCACCAAAAACCTCAGGTCTTCAGAGAGGTAGGATGAGCATATGGCATCAATCTGCAAAGCAACACAGAGAATGGTGGAGGAGTGCAGCAACAGAAATGATTAAAAAGAATAAATCAGTGTGCTTTACCTCTCTGAGTAGCTGCCCCTGATCTGCTGTTGCCTGCTGAAGATCTGCTGGAGCACCTTTTTGTTTCATACAGAAACACATACAATATACAGTTAATACAGAAACTGACGCAACCGATTTACAGTTTTTCTCCCTTGCCCAATTTGTCATTTCTATGATTCAGGGGTCAGCTAAAACCAAGGAAGAACAGGAACTGTTATTATTATTATTATTATTATTATTATTGTTGTTATTATTATTATTATTATTATTGTTATTATTATTATTATTATTATTATTATTATTATTATTATTATTAACAACAACAATAATAATAATAATATGTATTATGTATGTGTTAGTCCTTTAGACTGTATTTATGAGACTAAAATCTTTAAATGTATTCAAATACCTGTATATAAATATTCAACTAGGAGTAATAAAAAACTCTCTGTACAGCAAGTCAGTGTCAGAAGTATGTTAAACTGTATTATCCCCATCAAATAAAATTGTAATTAAAAAACTGACATTTAAAATGTTTTACCACATTAGGCAAATAGCTGAGAACACTTTTCTATATTCTGAAGAAATTATAAATTAATTGAATATGTTTTTATGATGAAAATCAATTTGACTTTTTCTCACTTGACTAATTTTATGCTCATTACTATCTCAGCATTATTTTACTGTGTAAGTGCTTGCTTATTATTTCTGTATTTATTTTTACCTCTTATGTTGCCCTTACAATAAAGGTAAAACAAACCCAACTCCTCACAACACATATAAATGTAAGTCTATTTTTGATCTACAAAGTAAAATCTTTTGTAAACTCCTTCACCTTGGAGAATGACCTTTGCAGAAGACAATAAGTCAACATTTTCCAGCACTGACACTGACTGCAAAAGATTACGCGCAAACTCACAGATCACTCCGACAGCTGGAGAACTGACTGTCAATCTACATCTAAGTACATCTCAGTCATTTGTTACTTTCTGTGAGCTAATAAACACAAAAAGTCAGGGGTTTAAGATTTTTTTTCCTTTCACCAAACTGTCTTGTACAGTTTGATATTATATCAGTTCTAAATGACAATGATGGACAGACTGATGAACGGATTGACTGAAAATGCAGTTTAGATATTGACCTATTTATTTTATCTTTTCATTTACCCCAACACTTTACTGGATTAAAGCATTTATAATAACATAAACTAAATCCAGGTAATATTGATACAGAACATAGACAAGAAGTTCATGTTAAAGTTAATATTTAAATTTCTTTATCACAAATCATTTTTATTTTGTTCTTTCTTAGCTTACTTGGTAAGTTTTACATTTTGTCTAAAAAATGTAAAACTTCCTTTATCCTTGCATAGATAGATAGATAGATAGATAGATAGATAGATAGATAGATAGATAGATAGATAGATTTAGACATTATTCTTTAACTTTTTTAATTAGGAAAAACCTGCTTATAAGGAAATAAGCTGACTTACTTTGGCAGACTGGTATGGTGAGGATGAGGAGGGCTGCGAAGGTGATGCTGGCCGTGCGGAGTGGACTCATGGCGCTGCTGCTGAGGCTGTGCAGGGTGCTGAAGGCTCCGCGCTGACTTTGGCTCTGAAAGGTTCTCATCTCTCTCTCTTTGGCTGGCCTTTGGTGTCTTTTGTCTTTTGACTTCTTGCTCTTCTGACAGCTTGTATCTCACGTCAGAGAAATATGAAGGCTCGTGTCAAACACCCGCCTCTCGTGCTGACACTTGACTGCGTCACTGGAGCTCGGCGCGCGTAAAAGTTGTTTGATTGCCGCAACAGGTTGGCGGAACGAGGTGCTTCTGGCAGGCTGAAGGATGGATGTAAAGCAGGAAGTGAGTAAAGTTGTATCACGTCCATCAGAAAATCATCAATAAATAAGATAAACATGTTTTTATTTCGTTTTGAACTTGAAAAATACGAATATGATAAAGTAGGCTACAGTATTACTCGTGTCTTTGAATCGATATCTAGATTCAGATCGGTGCCTATCTTCTTTTAGAATTGTAAAAATTCCCACATGAATTATTGTAAAGTAGGCTATACAAATTTTAAAGTATTTATATCATAACAAAATACAATTTTATTATCAACTAAACGTTTAATCCTGAAAATCTTGAGAAATTTTCTCCACTAGCTGTGGATTTTATTTATTTATTTATTTTTATTTATAATATCATTAATAATCTAATATATCTAATATCATTAATAATTAATAATCCACTGTGCATGTATTAATGTGCATCAAAGCACTTGTTTGTATTTCTTCCACAAGTAAAATGTTCTTAAAGGAAAGTCCTAAAAAACCATTTTGACAGAGACCCGTACACTCAGCTCACAGTTTATAACCTCTAAACTAACTATTGTTAAACAGCTAACACCAGGTGGCCAATACTTCCCTAAAATTGGGTCATGCAACAGGACAATGATCCTAAGCACGAGAGCAAATCTGCAACAGAATGGTTGAAAAATACAAGAATATGCGTGTCATGGCTCAGTGTCCAGACCTCAACCTAAACGAAATCCTGTGGCAGGTGCATTAGAGAGGTCAATGGACTGAAGCAATGTTTTAAGCAAAAATTCCCTTACGGTGATGTGAGAGACCAATAAGGTCATACTGATAATTTTAACTTTAACTGCTAAGTCACACTTTCATCGTGTGTTTGAACACAGGTGCCAGTAAAAAACAAGAAAGATGGTAAGTGATATAAGAGAGGTTTTAAAGGGGTAAAAAAAAAAACCACACACACACTCAGGAAAATCAAACCAAAAAGTTGAAAGGACTGAGAGTTGGTGTAGACCATAGGTTTGCTGGGAGGACATAAGCAGAGCTACATCCCAGTTACTGTTTATGACTTTTCACCTTGTTCCTAAAGCTTGAAATTGGTTCTGGTTTCATTTTATGTGGTCATCAGCAAAACATCTCCTCACCTGTGAGATGGAAAATGTTATTTCACGCTTGAGACCCACTCTAATAATCAGTGGTAAACACTAATGTAATATGATATTGTAGCATGGATTATTTAGTGCTGGTGCTAGTTATCCAACACACTGTTGTGCTACTTTTAAGAATGCAAACACATTTCCCAATGATAACTACAATAACAATGACTATTAATTTTAATGAAAAGAGACAGAATATATGCAAAAATCCAGAAAAAAAAACCAAATTATATTACAACCCGTTACTTAATCAATCAATTATAGATCAGTCTTGAGCTCCATGCAAGATCTTGCCTCATGGGATGAGGATGATCATGAGGAAGATAGTGGATCAGCCCAAAACTACATTACAGGAGCTTGTTATTGATCTGAAAGCAGTTGGGACCATAGTAAAGAAGAACACCGCTGGTAAAACACTAAGCACTAATCTTACAACATCTGCAACGTCTCCCTGCTCAAGACTGCACATGTACAGAACTGTTTGCCAGTGAACATCTAAATGATTTAGTGAAGCCTTGGGGGGAAAGTGCTGTGGTCAGATGAAACCAAAGTGCAGCTCTTTGGCATCAACTCAATCCACCATGTTTGCAAGAAGAGAAATCCTGAGTATGACCCAAAGAGCACCATTGCGACCCTTAAAACCGAGATGGAAACATCATGCTTTGAGACTGTACTTTAGATGCAGGCATGTACTGGAAAAAGTTGGATAAGAACCTCCTTCCCTCAGCTAGAACATTGAGGATGGGTTGTGGATGGGTCTTCCAGCATGACAATGACCTAAAACATACCGATAAGGAAGCAAAGGACTGGCTAAGGAAGAAACACATTAAGGTCATGGAGTAGTGTAGGTAGTCTCCAGACCTCAATCATATAGAAAACCTGTGGAGGGAAACGAAGCTTTGAGATGCCAAGAAACCTAAAAGAATTATAGAGTTTCTGTAAAGAAGAGAGAGGCAAAATCCTCCTTGCCAACAAGGGTTTCTCCACCAAGTACTTAGTAATGTTTTACGTGTTGCTTAAACACTTATTTCATTCAATGACATACAAATAAATTTATACATTTCATCTAATGTGTTTTTTCTGGGTTTTTGGTTGATATTCTGTCTCTCTCCATTAAAATGAAACAACTCTAAAAATTGGAGACTGTTCGTTTCTTTGTAAGTGAGCAAACTTACAAATTCAGCAAGGGATCAAATAATTATTTCCCTCACTGTAAGCATGGAGCATAATGTATAGTATAGTGAATTATGTCTTTTTTTTTTCAACTTTTGTTAAACTTTTCATGCATTCACGCAGTCGTGGATAGTTAAATGTACATCATTATTAGGACGAGTCATTATAGATCATTACTGAATTATCTCTTCTAATACCAGATAATTGTTGGCCTTTGTGTGAAGCAGCGTGTGTGAAAGCAGACACACTTGGCAACGCTACATTTCATTTGGATCCAGACAGTGTAACAAAAGGAAATAATGATCGCCACTGTTCTGTTTTCTTCATCTCGACCCAATATGAATATAAGATGAATTAATGAGATACTACAAAGCAAGGTGGGTATATTTTGGCTGTAATTGGCTTCACTGTTACAAGCAGGGGCTTGGATTTATTGACTAAGAAGGCATGACACGAACCACAAATGAGAAACAGATGCTGCAACAAAGATCCTGAAGATTTATTTGAGTCATGTAGATACTCCATAAGGACTTTGTGCACACAGCAATATGTGATTCATTGTCTCAAGATTTGAAAAGCACCTTTGCCACTTACATGTACACATAAAGCAACTTGAGAAATTATAATACTGCTTTCATTTACCACTTTCATTACCTGCCACCCACCAGATAAAATGTATATATATTGATTCACTGTAAAAAGATTAAAGGTCATTTTTAAGTCACTTTTGCTGTGGAAACAAGAGATGCACTCGACAGAGGGCTGTAATCTGCTCACAGCTTTGTCTTCGAAATCTGATGCGAGTTTGCTTAATGGCACAAGTAGAAACAAATGGAGTGTGCTGATAATGGAGCAATTCAAGGAGTCATCACACTCATCTCCACCCTTGTCATCCTCCTACACTAATCTCGCGAACCATGCTTTATCTCCCACTTTTCCTTATTGTGAATGGAGACCAAACAGTGGAGGTCACGGTGCAAGCATAACAGCAGGATGACAAGATATATTGTTCTTTGCTTTTTGATATTTGTTAGATAAACACAAGTTTTCACGGTCTTTTGAAGTGAAATGAATGCTAAAGTTGCTTCAGTAACACCTGCTGAGCTCATGAAAGCTCCCCTTGGTCCAGCATTCTGGAGAAGTCTTGAAATGTCACGACCTTTAACGAGTTCTGTGTTGTTATGAAGCTGACTGGCATTTGCGTATGTTGGGGTAAAATATTTTTTGGGAGTTAAAACCCAAAGGTATTTAGAGAAGGTTATTGTCTATGATTCACACATTACTTGAAGCCAAAACACAGATTACAGTCTTTATTGTGCCATAATTATTTCAAAGAAATGAAATCAGGACATTTGACTCAGTATCTACCTTACTTACTGGAATCTTAACATTTCATCAGTATTTCTAAATTATCCATGGCTTCATAGTGTAGTGGTTTACGCATTCACATTACTAGTAAAAGACTACTGGGGATTCTATTAGGAAGGGTATCCAACATTGAAAAACAAACAATATGTAGAGCTACCCACATACTCTGCTAGGACTTTACTGTAGCTGTAACTGTCTTCAGTTACTGCTTGTTGTGCCTGCAGTTTTTACTTGAGTAATTGGCCATTGAATAATATGTCTTTTATTTGCGTTGAGAAACCGTTGACTTGCTTTTGCAGTATTATTTTCTGTCGAGATGAAGTACCGTCTGATCAACTTAGCTGAATCTGAGCCGAGAGTAAAGAAGATTTGATTTATTTGAAGAATCTCTTAATGTTCACTTACATTCTCTAGAGCGTTGTTCAGCTGGCTAGATTTTGGAAGGGGTTTTTCTTCACTAAGGCAATAATTCTGTCGCTATGTACTTTAGGTGTCTTCTATGGTTTTTCAGGTTTTTTGGTTCTGTTAATCTTAATCTTCTAAGATGGTCAATGAAGGCAAAATTACAAAAAAGTTTCATTGTCCAAAAACTTATGAACCTAACTGTAAGTTATAGGACAGTAAAGCTTATTGCACAGCAAAAAAAGTGGACAGAGCCAGCCTAACTTTTCTTCTTGTGTCCACGGTTTGTGCTAAGATGACAAGAATAATAATTCTCATCAGCTCAACCAGAAACCTTTACTGTAACTACTGGGCCCAGTGTCATCAATTAAAGTATTAAAAAAAAATAGACCCACCAAAACGCATCAATTTCTTACACAGTAGCAGGATGTTTTAAATGATGTTCATGGTTGGAAATGAGGAAAATTAGCAGGGAGCGTAACGTATTAGCAAGTCATCAAAGATGATTTGTTAACTTTATAAAATATGACAAACCTCTAAGTTTATTGTGTTTTCTCATGAAGAAAATCAAAGCAATAAAAAAAAAATAGTGAGAATCATCCTGCAAACTAGTGTGAAAGTGAAATAATGGGCTTTTAAAATATGTACATAACTAACAAAGAGATTTTCAATGTGTTATGTAAAATGTTAATGTAATTCCAGTTCAGCAATGGCTTTATGAAGAAAAATCTCTGAATAAATATATAGAATAACT